CTATTGGCAGCTCCCTCCTCTACCGCCCCATAATCATGCCGTCTCTAGAAGTGCAGTCTACCCCACTCTCTTACTAGAGGAAACATGAGTAGGGCTCCATGTCTGTCGACTTTCCACAACATCTGTGACTTCTGCAGGGGCCAATGTGGCTCACCCCAGGGCCACCCAAGCAGCTACTGCTCTGGCGGTCCCGGGCAGTGGTTCCTGGGATGGAGGCAGCTGGTGCTGCTGGCCCGAGTTGCTCCCCAAGAAGCGTGCCGTCCCTCCAGATTTAATCTCATGGATTTTTAATAAAAGTCATGGACAGGTCATGGGCCATGAATTTTTGTTTATGGCCCATGACCTGTCCATGACTTTTACTAAAAATACCTGTGACTAAATTGTCACCTTAAACATGAGCTATTAGTTACTGTCTCTGGAGGTGCAGTGAAAACTGGGCTATTTGAATCTTACACTCTAAGATCTCTACTGCAGCAGAGCCTGATATGCACAAAAGGCTTTGTGTATATTTCTGCAAATACTGCAATGAATTCCATAGCCAATGTTTTATGAAAAAAGTGTCACTTGCCACGTACAAGTTACAACTCTATTGGTTGCTGTACTGCTGACAGCCAGAGGGTGCAGTTAGTGGTGTGGTATGGTCTGGAAGGAAGATAACAAAAGGGGTGTGAAATATTTTCTACCTTATGTTCTCAGAAAGATAAGCAAGAAGAAATGGGGCATGGGAAGTTCCTGAGTGGAGTCATAATAGGAACTAAAAGTCTTAAATCTGTAGCAAACAGCTAGGAATGTGTTATTTTAGTTTGTGTTCTGATTCTGAATGGGGCAATTTGTTTAAGGACTATAAGATAAAGACAAAATATGAACAGAAAGGGCATGGGGGGGAGCAATTGTTACTCTGAAAAGTAAGACTTTTCCAGTGGACAGTGTTTTAAGCCAGCTACAGGAGGTGTATAGCCCTAAGAAAGGTGCAAGAATTCACTAAATCAAAGTCTGCAGTCCCAGAGGATGGGGGATGGGGGCAGGGCCCTCCTTAGCCATTTCGGTGCCCTATGCAGCCCCCCTGCGGGGTGTATGTGTGTGTGGCCCCAGGCCTCCGTGGTGGGGGGGGGGAGCTGGCCCCAGTCCTCCGCGGGGCGGGGGACAGCAGGAGCAGGCTTGGGAGACAGGGGGAAAACTGCCCCCAAGCACGAGCCACCTGAGCAGAGCGGGCTGGTGCCGGGTGGCTCCACTTCCTGCCGCCTGGTGAGTGCAGGGCAGGCCCGACCCCTGCTGCAGTCCTCCAGGGAAGGGGTGGAGTGGGGGCGAGGCTGGGGCGGAGCAGGGGCAGGAAGAGGTGGTGTGGGGGGCGGAGCAGGGGGCCATGGGGAAGAACCGGAGCAGGGGCTGGAGCAGCACGCAGCTGCATAGGGCACCAGGAAATTTGGTGCCCCAAATTTCCTGGTGCCCTACACAGCTGCGTACTTTGCGTAGGGGTAGGGATGGCCCTGGGTCGGGGAAATGGACTTGAAGGTCTTAATTCTGGAGTTTACTTGAATGAGTTTGTAAACCCAGACCACTGGGTAAATGATTGCAGAAAAAGTGCAAAATAGGGACATTTCAGAGTAAGGAAAAAAGGTTGCAAAAATTCATGTGTGTCACAGCCCTGGTAGAGCTGCTGCTGCTGCACACTCACAAGGCTGCAGTGTTTGGGTCCCAACATGATGTGCTCTTAGGCTTCCCTTGGTCTGGGCAGGCTCCGCACTGTCTCTTTCGTTGGGCTCTCTGGCACATATTCTGGGCACAGACCCTTTGTTACCCCTTCATGGAAATGGGGCCTGATGGCTCAGCAGCCCTAGGCTTCTATGACTAGTGATGACCCCTCCTCCCACCCCCCAGTCTCCCTAATAGACTAAGCTTATCTTTCAAGGGACGCATGACTGGTCAAGGATACGGGTAGAAACCTTTGCAATGGCTTCTAAACACAATTATTCTTATTTAAGCATACACAAAAGAAAAAAATACCCTACAGGGATTTCCCTGCCTCAGTTTCCTCATCACTCTGGAGCATTTGGAGCTCATGAAGCTTCTGTTCAGTTCCCAAATTGTCATTTTCTTTTAAAAGCAGGGCTAGCTTGTGATGTGGTCTATATACCATGCAGGAGAACAAGCTCTGCACAGGTACCTGGTGTGACAAAGTAGGGTTTTTCCCCTTGTTATGTTGCATGTGAGTCTTACTGTCCTGTATTAATACTGTGTGCCTCGGTTTCCCTGTGTACTGCACCAATGCCTAGGTGGTGGGAGTTGGGTGTGTTACTTTTGCTGAGGCCTCCAGGTTAGGTGAGGTTGCCCAGCTGCTTGCATGTAGGCGATGGCTGATGCCCTTTGTAACCTGAGACCCAGGAGGGGGATGCAACCAGGTGACACTTAGCCTGGGAAGCAGGACAAAGCCCAGAGGAGGAGCAATGGGCGGGTCGGAGGCCAGGCAGCGGGGTTCAGAGCAGTCTTCTTCCTGGAGGGGGAAGTCCTGGGTGTCTCGCCCAGGGTTCCCCCAAGATGGATTTGGCTGAAGGTCACTGATTTCTGTGCTAACCAGTTCTGTTCTACGTTGTGTACCTGTCGACTAATAAACCTTCCGTTTTACAACACTGGCTGAGAGTCACTGCTGACTGCGGAGTTGGGGACGGGGTGCAGGGCCCTTAGGTTTCCCCAGGAGCTCCACACAGGCGGACTCGCTGTGGGAAGCGCATGGTGGTGCTGAATGCTCTGAGGACAGATACAGGAAGGCTGAAGCTGTATAGGCTTCTTGATAGGCATGCCAACTTACTAATTGCAGAAAACTGAACACCCTTGCCCTGTCCCTTCTCTGAGGCCCCCCCCCGCTCACTCTATCCCCCTCCCTCCATCGCTCGCGCTCTCTCTCTCTCACCCTCGCTCACTCGCTCATTTTCACCGGGCTGGGGAAGGGGGTTGGGGTGTAGGGGGGGTGACGGCTCTGGCTGGGGGTGCAGGCTCTGGGGTGTAGCCAGGGATGAGGGGTTTGGGATGCAGGAGGGGGCTCCGGGGTGGGGCCGAGGGGGTTGGGTGCTGGAGGGGGCTCAGGTCTGGGACAGGGGGTTGGAGGGCAAGAGGGGGTTTGGGGTGCAGGCTCTGGGCGGCACTGAACCCAGGTGGCTCCCAGGAAGTGACATGTCCCTCCAGCTCCTAGGTGGGGCTCTGTGTGCTGCCCCCGCCTACAGCCACTGCCCCCATAGCTCCCATTGGCTATGGTTCCCAGCCAATGGGACCTGCAAAGTAGGTACTTGGGGCGGCACCTGTGGGTGGGGGCAGTGCATGGAGACTCCCTGGCCACCCCTCTGCCTAGGAGCCAGACATGCTGGACACTTCCTAGGACTCATGTGGAGCCGGGCAGAGAGCCTGCCAGCCCCACTGTGCCACCAACCAGACTTTTAATGGCTCAGTCATCAGTGCTGACCAGAGCTGCCAGGGTCCTTTTTCAACCGGGTGTTCCATTTGAAAACCGGACACCTGGCAACCCTAGTAACAAATGTGAACCCCTGGATCACTTTAAATCTTACCATGGAGTCTCAGACAGTCCTCTTAGACTCTGCAGTCTATCGTGCCACCCAGACAAATGGGACTTAATGATAAATAGTCACTTATACCAAAAATCACACCTCATTCAGGTTGCTTCCTGTTCCAAGAGACCAGTCACATATCCCATATCAATTGGTACCCTTGATCTTACAATGCCTCTAGTCAGTCCTTTAACAAAATACCTAAAGGTTTATAAACTAGGAAAAAGAAATGTTATTTACAGGTTAAAGCAATCAAACATATACACAAATGAGCTACTATCTAAATCCTAAGAGTGACAGTCTGTCAATTCGAACTGTCTTTCATGGTGGACCCAGGAGGCAGCCCCTGGGGATCTTTGGCTTCAGTTTAGAGTCTCTGGCCCTGTCAGAGTTTAAACAGCCAAAAAGATGGAAAATTTTCCTGTGGCTTTGTTTTATTTCCTTCATTCAGCTTCCAAGTCCAGGAACCAGATTCCTTGAACATAGGATTTCCCAGGTGCAATAGGGCCATTAACCAATCCTTTGAATTGCAATGTTCCTTGATGACCCATCTGTTTTTATAGTCCTGGAGAGGAGGGAACAATTCTTGTGCCTGAGTTCACAAGTTCAGAGCAAACATTTTCAAAGTTATTAATAAAAGCTTACATATATTCTTTATAACATGGAATAGGGACACTGCAAGTGAGATTAATGCATGCAGTAACGTGCAAGCATTTCATAGTCTAAACACTACTTGTAATGAAGTAGTGATTTGTAATGAAAGAGGTGCTGGGACTCAAGCAATATTTTTACTTTCATAACTGACGCAGCAAGACCAGAGGTGCTGGGGCTATGAACTGCCTGGTCTAGAGGTGCCAGGGCTGAGCCCTGGCAAAAATTAAGCACTAACTACATTATTATAAGACTAATACCTATTTTGAGCCAAACTAACATACAGGTGAATTGGTCTAATCTCCAGTTATGAGTTTCAGTTCTTAGCTAATGCCTGCAGCCTGGGCAAGAGCTGGGCTGCCAACATCACAGAAGGTACATTTATCTTGATGGAAAATGAAAAATACATCCTGGCTTCCATTGATTAAATCTGGTTTTGCATGTTGCAAACCTTTACATGGCAGCTATCCACCATTCTCTTCATTACCGTTTAAGCACTGCAGGAGAACCAAAGCAAAACCAGAAGGTGGCTGCAAATTAAATTGTTCTGTAAACAGCTGCTTCTGACACTCAGCCAAACAATTGACTGCTGCACTGGGGAACAGGACTAACTCACTGTTTGAAGTAAAAGCAGCTTCTAGCAGGAATGGACGGAGCTGTGGACCTCAAGCTTGGAGCAACAGAACTTTCAGCAGCCATCAGAGGACAGCTGGTAATTAATGGCACTGTGTAGCTAATTGATAGCACCATATTCCATGGAAAAGGACTCATTTGGAAAGCTACTGGCAGCATCTAAGTGTTCCTTTGCAAAGAGTGAAGGTTAAATTGAACAAGTGGAACTTTATTAAACCCTATGCACCCCTCTAAGAGGACTCGGTTGAAGACCTTCCCTGGCACTGACAGAAGTGTGATTCCTCTGTAGTTGGCACAATTGCTGAGGTCTCCTTTCTTGGGGATTTTAATAAGATATCCCTCTTTCCAGTCCGCCGGAATCACTTCTTCTTCCCATATCTTCTCAAAGAGGGGGTACAGCATTTCCACTGAAACATCCAGATCTACTTTCAGGGCCTCTGCTGGAATATCGGCAGGTCCAGCTGCCTTCCTATTCTTCATCATAGTGATGGCTTTTCTGATCTCATCTCTGGTTGGTCTCTCACAATTGATTGAAAGGTCTTCATTGGCTGGGTCAATATCTGGTGGATTTAATGGTGCTGTTCTATTCAGGAGTTCCTCAAAGTGCTCTGCCCATCTATTCATCTGTTGTTCTATTTCTGTTATAGACTTTCCCTGCTTGTCTTTGACGGGACGCTCTGGCTTGCTGAACTTTCCAGACAGTCGCTTGGTGATGTCATACAGCTGTTTCATATTACCATTGTATGCTGCCTGCTCCGCTTCTGTTGCCAGTCCATCCACATAATCTCTCTTGTCCTTCCTAATATTCCTCTTCACTACTCTATGGGCTTCAGCATACTCTTTTTGCGCTTTAGCCTTTGCTGCTCTAGTCCTGCTGTTATTAACTACTGCCTTCTTCTTCTTTCTATCTTCTATCTTAGTCAAGGTCTCTGCTGTGATCCACTCTTTCTGCTGGTATTTCTTAATTCCAAACACTTCCTGACATGCTGACCTAAGTGTCTCTCTCACTTTCTGCCATCTGTTGGGTACACTGTCTTCCTCTTCCTCAGACCGATCCTGTAGTACTGAAAACTTATTCTTCAGCGTCAGTCCAAAATCTTCCTTGATCTTATGATCCTTCAAAAGGCTGACGTTGTACTTCGCTCTTCTATCTAACGCATATATCCAGTTCTTCTTCAGCTTCAATCTGGCCACCACTAAGTGGTGGTTGGATGCTACATCTGCTCCTCTTCTAACTCTAACGTCCTGCAAAGATCTTCTGAACTTCTTGCTAATACAGACATGATCGATCTGGTTTTCTATTGTGCCTGCTGGCGATACCCAGGTATTCTTATGGATCCGCTTGTGAGGAAAGATGCTACCTCCTATGACCAGGTTGTTAAGTGCACACAGATCCACAAATCTCTCTCCATTCTCACTCATCTCTCCCAGAGCGTGGGTCCCCATGACTTGTTCATATCCTGTGTTGTTAGGTCCAATTTTGGCATTAAAATCTCCCATAAGGATGGTAATGTCTTTGTCTGGGAGAATCTCTAATATTTTCTGAAGTCTGTTGTAAAAATAGTCTTTGTCCCCCTCTTCACTGTCATTGGTTGGAGCATAGCACTGTACAACATTCATCTTAATCCTCTTAATTTTAGTTCTGAAGGATGCTGTAATGATCCTGGAACCATGTGCCTCCCAACCAATCAGTGCTCTCTGTGCCTGCTTGGACAACATGAAGCCTACTCCCTGTGTGTGGGGTGCGTCGCTCTCTTCATGTCCGGAATACAGCAACAGCTCTCCTGTCAACAGTCGTCTCTGTCCAGCTTGCGTCCATCTTGCCTCACTAATGCCTAGTAGGGTCAGGTTGTTGCTCCTCATTTCTGCTGCGACCTGCGCCGTCTTTCTTGACTCGTACACGGTCCTCACGTTCCATGTACCGATGGTAATCCTCCTGGTTGCAAGAAGGGTAATCGGCTTAGTGGCTTCCTCACGACTTTCACCACCCAGCGTCATGCGTCTTCGAGTTGAAGACCCTTCTTTTTCCAGGCTAAAAGTCTGTTATCTCTATTGGCATTTCTGTAGCAAGTTACGGGGTGGAGTTGCTAGCCCCACACCCAACCCTCCTCCTTTATCCTGACTTGGGACAGGCAGATGGCCCCAAAGGACCTCTCTGGTGGAGCCGTCGATCCACAGCTACGAGATGAGCAAGCAGGTTTCCAGCAAAATAGATCATGCATGGACCAGATAGCAACGCTCCGCATCATAGTCGAGCAGTCTATGGAGTGGAACTCCTCGTTGTACATCAATTTTGTTGACTATGAGAAAGCATTCGATAGCATGGATCGAGAGACTCTCTGGAAGCTCCTTCGGCACTATGGCATCCCAGCAAAGGTGGTCATCCTGATTAAGAACTTATATGACGGCACACACTGTAGAGTGATCCATGGAGGGCAGCTTACAAACAGCTTCCAGGTGCGAACCGGAGTCAGACAAGGATGCTTGTTGTCACCATTTCTCTTTCTCCTTGCCATTGATTGGATTATGAAGACATCCACTTATGAGCATAGGAACGGAATCCAGTGGACGTTGTGGACCCAGCTTGATTACCTGGACTTTGCCGATGACCTTGCACTCCTTTCGCATAGCCAACAGCAGATGCAAGAGAAGACCAACGTAGTGGCAGCCATGTCATCACAGGTTGGCCTCAACATCCACAAGGACAAGGCCAAGATCCTCAAGATTAACTCCATCAGTAATGACCCAGTCACACTGAATGGAAGCCCTCTGGAAGAAGTGCAGTCCTTCACCTACCTAGGCAGCATCATCGACCAACAGGGTGGCACGGACGCAGACATCAAAGCAAGGATCGGTAAGGCAAGAGCAGCTTTCTTACAGCTCAAGAACATCTGGGAGCTCTAGAGAGCTGTCTTTGGCAACAAAGATTAGACTGTTCAACTCCAACGTGAAATCAGTCTTATTGTATGGAGCTGAAACCTGGAGGATAACTAAAACAACCACCAGGAAGATCCAGACCTTCATAAATAGTTGCCTTAGAAGGATTCTCCAGATGGCCAGATACCATCAGCAACATCTACCTCTTGGAGAGGACCCATCAACTTCCAGCAGAGGAAGAAATTAGAAGGAGAAGGTGGGGTTGAATAGGGGACACACTACAAAGCAGCCAACCAACATCACTAGACAGGCATTGCGGTGGAACCCCCAAGGCAAGCGGAAAAGAGGCCGTCCAAGAAACACCTGGCGACGCGACCTTCAGGCTGATAGCATAAAAATGGGTTATACCTGAAACCAGCTAAAGCAAATGGCCCAGGATAAAGGACTCTGGAGATCTGTGGTTGGCGGCCCATACCCCGATTGGGGTGATGGGCATGAGTGAGTGAGTGATGTACCCCTCTGTCCAAGTGGCTGAGCTGCTCCCACCCAGCCTAACTCCCCACATTTCCTGTTTCCTCATGAATAGTCCCTCCAGGGAACATGGAACTGACTCCAGTTCCACTGATCACAATACACCATCCAGCCAGATAATGTTTTCAGACACTGGTGTTTGTGTGCAGCTGGACAAACCTACAAGCAGCATTTTCCTGCATATAATCCCCTGCAAAGAGGGATGGCTGTAGGAGTGTTGACAGGCTCACAAGATGATTGTCAGCTTCTGACATTTTTGGGGCTGTCACAAATTTAAGACACACTTGGCATATGGAGCCAAAAGAGGAGAGCATATTTGGACCACCACTAGACTTCTGTATTTTGGAAAATCCCACCGGCTGGTTTAATTATGCCGGCTAGCTGTGGTGTCTAAGAGATCATACACCAGCTGACACTTTGAAGTGCAGCTATGCCTGTCTCACACCTTGCTCCAGGAGTGGTGGGGATGGAGGCATATAAGATGGATTTGCTCACTTTACGCTTCAGATGTCTGCAAGAATGTAAAATAAAACAAGGGAGCATACATCAAATGATTGAAACCCAGTAACTAAAAAATTGTTTTGTCTTGCTTTTCCCTCTTCCATGTCCCCCTCTTTGCTTTCCATCTTTGATTCTGTCTCCCTCCAGGCCATTTCCTCTCTCTTATCTCTACTGTGAAAAGAAAACATTCCCTGTTGACCACTGCCGGCTCTCTCCTATGCTATATTTCAGTTCATCACTACCCTTCTTTTCTCTCTCCTCTGCCTTCCATTATCTCTCCTTCTTCCCAGCCCTCTCCATCATCCTTTTCCTTTTCCTTCCCCGCCCTTCCATGACATCCACTCTCCCTTTTACCTTCACTCATCTGAGTTTCTTCCTGAATGGGTTCTCCTGTTTCCTTCTTGTGTTATGGAGGTTTTCCCCTACCATTCTTTCCTCTTAACTTAAGTGAGTTTGTTGCAGTAGGTTAAGAGACTGTTTCTTCACTTCCTTTGGCTCCTATTTTTCCTGTTCTTCCCCACATAGGCAGATTATTACTGCTGTGTTGGGTGGAGACTGGGTCTTTTTTCTCTGTCCCCAGTGGGTCATCAGCCTACAGCTGAGCAAGCTTTTCATTGAAACTTCCAGACTTGGGGCCAGAGGCTACCTTAGCAGCTCAGATAGGTTACAGGCTCAGATGCAGATCAGTGGCCAATAGCTGTGAGGGAGTCCATGACAGCCATATCTCCTCCACACTGAAGATTAGTCACTTCCTTGGTCTCCAAATTGAGATCTAAAGCCACAGGCAGTTGCCTGTCCATAATCAGTGTGAGGTTGAGAAATGCCCAAAGCTAGCCAATATTATTTGTAACCAGGTGACAGTCTTGTTTTGAGAAGAGCTGAAATAAAGCATTGGTCTTCCAATACTGAATTAAACAGACACAATTGCAGAGAAACCGTCTCTGTTGAACTCAGCCCTTCATTAGCTGTGTCACTTTGGCCTAGATCAGTGGTTTTCAAACTTTTTTTCTGGCAACCCAGTTGAAGAAAATTGTTGATGCCTGTGACCCAATGGAGCTTGGGATGAGGGGTTTGGGGTGTGGGAGGGGCTCAGGGCTGGGGCAGAGGATTGGGATGCAGGGGTGATAGCTGCAGGGTGGGGCTGGGAATGAAGGATTCGGGGTGTGGGAGGGGGCTCTGGACTGGGGCAGGGGCTTAGGGTGCAGGAGGGGGTCAGGGCTCTGGGCTGGGGATGCAGGTTCTGGGGTGAGGCTGGGAATGAGGGGTTTGGCATGCAAAAAGGGGCTCCACATTTGGGGGGAGGGCTCAGCGCTGGGGCAGGGTATTGGGGCACAGGTTTGGGGCACAAGCTTACCTCGGGTGCTAAGTCAGGCTTCCTGCCTGTCCTGGCACCGCGGACCGCGCTGCATCCCGGAGGCAGCCAGCAGCAGGTCTGGCTCCTAAGCAGAGACGCGCAAGCTCCTGGCCAATGGTAGTGTGGAGCCAGTGCTCGGGGTGGGAGCAGTGTGCGGAGCCCCGTGGCCCCCTCGGCTAGGAGCTGGACCTGCTGCTGGCTGCTTCCGGGGTGCAGTGCAGTGTCAGAACAGGTAGGGACTAGCCTGCCTTAGCCGGGCAGCACCGCTGATGGGACTTTTAACGGCTTGGTCAGCAGTGTTGACCAGAGCCACCACGATCCAGTGCCTTACATTCCGCGACCCCATACTGGGTCACGACCCACAGTTTGAAAACCACTGGCCTAGATCCTAGAAATATTCCATTGTCTTTCAAGTGTGTGCTTGGGTGTTCTTATCTGGGAGGTCATTGTGTCACCTTCCTCACTGACCCCACTGAATTTAAGCATTATAGGCATATAATAAACATTCCACGAACCCCCATAAGTTAGTGGAATAGACATACAGGCAATTCTAATAACCCACCAGAGTTGTACAATAATCTCACTGCGTAGGTGAATTACAATGTTCATAAAATGGCTACATCTCAGTATTCATAACATCATTACATATCAGTTCTACATCAATCGCAGAAATAAGTGTATCATTTAGCCTGAAGAACCTTTATTACTGGTGATAATGTATGGCAAGGAAATGACCTAAGTTGGCTCTCAGAACAGGATGAATTTGCAAGAAAAGACATTTCTGTTACTTGTAAACAGATCACTTTTGATATGGAAATCATTAGGATGCAATAAACACAGAACCCCATGATGCCATTTTGCACTGTCACTTTACAAAGTAGAACCAAGAATTAAACTTTTTGTTCTATATTTTAGATTCCCCCCACCCCCCGTGCTAGTGCAGTCTTTGATGCTTTAGAGATTGATTGTTATAATAAATGAACCCTGAACACAGTGATCAGTCTTAAAACTTCGTGTACGCCACTTGCATAGATTGGGTATCTTTCTCTTGGTTCTGGGGAATAGCTCTTTTCCCATAACCTATATATAATGATTGTAATAATGTGGTACAGTTCAAATCCTTTTTCCTATTGGGTGAAGTTACTGAAATAAAACACTTTTTTCCCCTTCTGAAAGACAACTGTGCCCCTCCCTCCTTTTGCATTTATTTTAAGTTTGTCTTTTTTAGCCTTGATGATACTTCTTTTTCTTTCAATCTCCTGGTAATTTAGGACCCAAACTGTGTCTTATTTTGCTGACAAGTTTTGACTGTCAAAAAATCAAAGCCTTGACTATTTCATGTCATCCTTATGGTGACAGAATTAGGATGAGACTGACAAATTTTAAGCTTTTTTCATATTTCAAAGTAACCTGAAGCATTATGTATTTATCACAACACAGCTAATGAATATTACCATGGCAACTCTTTGAAGACAATATACTGAATCTCATTTGGTTTTACTCAGAAGTCATTTTTATACAGTATCACTAAAAAAATAAAACACAGAGGACAATCACCACAAAACCTGGATTGGTTTGAATTATTCTAAGATGAAAACAGGAACTGGGTTCTTCGGTTTGAAAATATATGAATTCTCATATTGAAAAGAGTAGTTATATAGACATGAATACTAACCTAAACTGCCAGAGAGCTGGCAAGCCTCACATGTTTGACTTGGTATATGTAATGTTCACT